TTTTTTTGTGACTCACTCTGTTGCCCTGGCTAGAGTGCAATGGTGTCATCATAACTCACTGCAACCTCAAACTTCTGGGCTCAAGTGATCCTCCTGCCTCAGCCTCCCAAGTAGCTGGGACTACAGGTGTGCACCACCATGTCCAGCTAATTTTTCTATTTTTGGTGTCATCATAACTCACTGCAACCTCAAACTTCTGGGCTCAAGTGATCCTCCTGCCTCAGCCTCCCAAGTAGCTGGGACTACAGGTGTACACCACTATGTCCAGCTAATTTTTCTATTTTTGGTAGAGACAGGGTCTCCTTCTCGCTCAAACTGGTCTCAAACTCCTGAGCTCAAGTGATCCTCCTACCTTGGCCTCCCAGAGTGCTAGGATTACAGGCGTGAGCCACCATGCCTGGCCCCACTTACCCTATTTTTGTAAAATGGATATTAAACATAATAGCAGACATCTGAATATGCCTTCATTTGTAAACATGATTAACATTTTCTCAAAATCCAGAAGCAAAACATAGACCCCACATTTCTGTACTATGTTGCCAGTTATTTCACATCATTCCCAGCTTTCGGCTAACTTCTATCCTGAATTGTTTGCTGTTGTATATATTTCTTATGGGACTAATGTCTAAGATTGTGAAAATACTGAAGAGACTGAAGTTACCAAAATTTTGTGGTTGTGTGGTTAGGTTTAGAAAGAATATGCCTACATGGGCAGGGAGATTAAGTGATGATGATTCCTCTATGAACAGTATTAATATTTCCTATATATGCTCAGTGCCAGTATGATATACCCATCAGGTACACACAAAGCAAGTAATACTAAAATTTATGTCTTACATCATCAGTAAGACTACCTGGGCATGGAAAATTTTACCAATCTGGTGACTCGTTATGGTTTTATTGGCACTGTGAACAACTTTACACTGCATTCCATCTCCTTATAATCTGGCAGTATTCTTAATTTTTTAAGAGTTTAAGTTATCTATTTCTAGTTGATTTTCAAACAACTTGTTTCTAAAAAGCACTTTTAAAAAACCAAAGTATTACAAACAAGTGTCTCAACCAACTTAGTGGTGAAACAATGACAATAATCATTCAACCTGAAAGATAAAAAATCTCATGTTCAAACTGTTTAACATAGCCATACTATAGAAAAATTGCCCTAAAATTCTTAGATTTTCTGATCACTGGCATGACTTATTAAACTTTTTTAAACTGAAAAACAAATATGTAACTCAAACACTGATTTTTTTTAAAACAAAACAAAACTTACTCTGTCATCCAAAATCAGAAATGGAGAGATCCTCCTTGCCAGTGTTCATATAAACAGGATGCTAACCCTAAAGACAAGATACTAAGTTTTTTATTTACAAATGAAGATGCAGAAAATTAAATGAGACAACTGATTGTCAACAACTAAAGTACTCAAAAATGGACCCATACAAACCTCACAAAGTGAGGTAGGAAAAACACCCCACTTAATTAAAATATTCACAAGAGTAGTGCAAACAAAACAATCTGAAAGGTTATTCTCAGTATTCCAGTGTCTAATAAATAATTATAATTAATTTAAAGCTACTAAGTGGAATTTGAGAATATAGGTTGTAAATAATGAGCTTATATAGCTGAGACTACTGCATTTAAGACATTTTATATGGTATATACACTTTAAATGACATATGGTTACGGTTCCATTATGGAATCATAAGCTTCACGCTGTAAACCTTTTTCAGTCACATAAGGAAATATTGCTTGTATCTGCTCTAAGCATAAGATTCAATCTCTCTTTCTACATTAGAAATTAACAGGATCAAATTTATTTAATCTTTACCTTCTAATATCCCACTGTGCAATATAATTAATTTGCCACCTTGGTGACTGAAAGCTGGCTGATTAAAAAATTACTTTAAAATAGCTAGGAACACTGATCAAAGCCATTTATTTCATTGAGTTTATTTTGCATTAAATAAATCCCCAGAAATATAATTAACTATAAAATGGCAGCATACAACTGTTGTGTGGCAGAAAATAGTAAGGCATAAATTAGAACAAAGAATAATGTATATCTACCCATCTATCTTTACGTCTGTATAGATAACATTTCTAACACTTCCCCATCTATATTACTTTATCTTTTTTCTGGATTTAATACTTTTCTTACTATGCTGTATTCAGCAACTACTGGGCCAGAACTGTAAGGAATCTACAGAAATGGAAAGTGTTACATACCACATTTATCACAGTATGCATAAAAGGAGGCAGTGGGTTTTAATATGCATTTGACGGGAGACTAGGTTTAATTCTGGCTCTCCTTTAGTTATGTGATCTTGATCACGTTACAATTTCTTTGAGCCTCAGTTTCCTGAGGATGAATGTGGGGTGGGAAGGGGGTGTGGGAGACTAGCTAGATTATCTCTAGGGTATCTTCTAGCACAAACATTCTGATCCTATAATAAATAGGCAAAGAGTAAACTGGAAAGGTATGGGTGGTGGTAGAGATCAAGATTTAAAATTATAGCCATTCTCTCCCTGGCTTTTTAAAATATTTTCATATTTAAAAATCTTAATTCTAAGTTAACTTTTCACTTTACATTTTAGTTTGCTTTCTAGTAATTAATGTCATAGAAAAGCGTTCCCAAAACCTTCAGATATTTCTTTGTATTCCTTAATCCAACCTGGCATAGATGGCATCAACCAAATTGTTTTACTATAGAAAACAAGTATTTTCTCCCTAATATCTTTTCTATAGACGGGTAGACTTTTTTATGGTAGTAAGTATAAAACAAAAGGTTGTTAAAAGATGAAGTATGAATATTGCTGGCATATATTTGTAACACCTGTTGTATGTCAGAAATAAAACTTTTTAATTAAATGCCAATAAGTAATGCAAATGCCTATCAAAAATCTCTTAGAAAATTTGACTTCCAGTTTGTTAAACTAACTCATTCCATTTTAACTATATCTTGCACAAGAAATCTGTTCCAAGACCCTGAATGCAAAGTTTAGACTAAATGAAATGTTTCTTCATTGGGGCCAAATCATATCACCTAAAAGAATGGAAAACAAATGTTACAGGGTCATGAAACATTAACGAGTATGTATACATACAAAATATATATGTATACACAGATAAATGAAATCCTCTAAGATGAAAATTATTTAAAACCAACTTTTCAGGTTTAACGTATGATTTCTAACCAAAGAAAAACTTTATTATATTTATTACAGCTTTTGCTGTAATTTGGTATTATTTGGTGTTTCTTTTGTGCTTTAACTAAAATCATGCTAGATTTAGATACCAATAAATGTATAATTTGTTGAATTAAAAACAGTCCTTTAGCCTCCAAAAACCAGGTATTTCTGCCATAAAGTGACTGACTTCCAGCCAAAGCCAAGATCTCGCTCCCAGGTAAGCACAATGCTTCTTTTCTTACATACCTGAAACTCTGCCATCCTTACCATGTTATAGACCTTTACACCTCATTTATTTTGGCTGTTTTTAAATTCTTTTCATTTATTTGACATCCAACGGATATCTAAAATATGTCTCTGTGATATATACATATACACATCATATATACACACACACACTCATACACACAAAATCAATAAATTGTCTATTTATCAACTTTTATCTTTACCCCAGACTTTGGCAATGTTGTAGATACTAGTTCAGGTTCTATTACAGTTTTCCATTTTCATATGAGCTGAAAAATGTTACAGATTACTAAATTCAAACAAGCATCTCATTATTCTTATAAAAATTCTAACAGAAAGTCCCTCTTTAAAAAAAATGTTCTTATAGTAAATAAAAGGGGGGAATTTTTAGGTGTGAAAAAAACAAGAGGCATTTTTCTATTTATCAAAATCTATCATAATTTTAATTGGTAGAGATAAAATTTTAAACTTTGTTAATTAGGAGAATACTTGCTTTCTATAAATTCAGTATATTTTTCTTTCACAATAATAAAGTAAAAACATATACATGTACAAAGCACTAATTGCTCTGATGTATTTTGTGGAAGGATAACTTATAGCAGTTCAAATCACAATACACTGATTTTTAAAAACTGAATATATTCCCTTCTTTTTCAAACATTAGTGCCTGAGACCTAGAAGAGGTTATAATAAAATCTTATTGAACCAAATCAGAACTAAATTTTTTTTAACCAATAATGTATTTTTTTTTTTTAAGCCTTTCAGCAGTTACCAAATGCTACTTACATACATTCAATATCTAGCTTACTGGCATGATTTCAAAGTTTTATAAAAAATGAGAAACTTTGCAGATATATGATTAGAGTGTCCACAAATTGCATTACATTAAACACAAAGGCAGTGTGGTCCTTGTAGGAGAAATCAAGTCAGTACCCCCTGGTAGAAATGTTCTAAAAAAAATGTGTCACATTGAAGCATCAGTGTTTTCAGCCAATTATCTGTCCCTGATACAGTTCCTTGGAGTATGTGATCTATCAGGTCTTCAGGTTTCTTAATCCAAAATATCTGACTGAATTTAGATACATCCAGAAAGCAGCTGAAAGGGTTTCTCTAATAGTCTGACATCACAGAAAGTGGATTGAGAAATCCCTCTCTTTACCTGAAGATGTACTATTCTACTTCAGTCATCATCAGTTCACAAAGGTAAAGAAAAAAAACAATCAAAACCTCCCCTCACACGCACAATCCCACACGAGCCAAACAAAAACTACCCCTCCCCCCACAAAACCCCAGCACCAAAGTGTCAATCATTCCTGGGAAACAACTTGCCTCTTGGATTCTCTGATTTGTTAGTTGTTCAAATTTTAAGGACAGAAATGACCTTATGTCCTTGTGGGGAAGAGGGAAGACATGTTAATAATGACTATAGAGCCACTGAGAAAGTGCATTATCAATTACACAATCAACTTAGAGCCCTGCCCTCCAATGGAGGTGGTCACAACTTGATTTAAATGCCTCAGTAATTGAACATTTATGTCCTCGAGATAAAGGAGATGGGGGAAAAAAGAGCTACCCTCATTTTAATGAAAAAGAGCAGCAATCTACCACCTTTCCCCATGCTTTTCCAGAATATGATTGCACAGACTCAGAGAAGTCCAAAGTCATAGCAGAATCTCTGAGGCACTCCTGGTTAAGAGAGAAAAAAATATGATCCAGTAATCTTCATAGTTCTATAGATTATGAAAACAAACCCGTTTTGTTTTGTTTTTAAGCAAAAGCCAAAGAATCATTTCATAGGGATCATATACACCATTTCCTCTTATGTACCCTCAGCTCACAGTGTTGAAATGGGACCGATCAGCCTACGATGGATTGCACATCACCCAAGGAGAAAGGAAGGCATAGAAAAGGCAAACATTTTATACTGCTTCACAAACACATTTACAAGGAATAGGTGAAGAGAAGATATAGGAAGGAGGGAAAAGAAAACCTTATTGCTGTTTCCATACAAAATACAGTATGAAGATACCTAAACTAAATCAAATCTCATTATGATGACCAGTATTTTCACAATGTGGGATGAAGTGTCTTCTTACACAATGAAATATGTTCAGTTTAAAAGGTAAGCAGAAAGAGAAGAGAGGATGTCAAAACTACACCTGGGATATTAGCTGCATATTAAAACTTGGGGATCGAGACTGCTTGGTTAAGGGGGCTCCTGGGCTGAGGAGCTCTTTACCTTCACCAGTTTGACCTAGCCGGTCTTCCTGTAGACTGATAGTTGAATATCGATTAGCACTGTTAGCTGCTAAATTAGTAACTCCCTCAGTGCCAACCCCAATGCTGGTACTTGCTTGACTGCCATTTACATAGTCAAATGATTTACTTGAGGAAGCACTGGCTGTCCGGATTAGACTTAAACTATTGGTTTTTGGCACCACCTGGCCAGCAGGCAGGCTCAGGTGTTTTTTCATTGGTGTCAGCTCAACTGAATCTACACTAAGATCAGTTGGTTGCTGTACATACTGCTTGCGAACTAATGAATCTCGAGGGCTCTCACTGGATTTGATGGCAGAAGCTGTTTCTTTATCTTTGGCTGACCGCCCAGTTGCTACTTTCCTTAAGCTTCCCCTCTGAGAAGAGGAGGATGGTTTGGTCCCAATTGGCTGACTGCTGAGGGAAGCCCCTGATGAAAATCCTTCATCTGCATCATTCAGGTTTACAGACTCTTCTCCTCCATTTATACCCTCAGCACCTAAAAAAACAAATCAGACAGACTCAGCAGTAGCTAAATTAAGAAGCAGCTGTGAATAACAACACTGACCTTATCTCTTGAGTAATGGTTGCTATAGGTTGGCAATGGCCCTACTATCAACACTACTCCTAAAAAATTTAGAGGAATAAACCTTAATCGACACAGAATTCTAATATGCTATTCATTCTGTTCATTCAGCTTTGATGATTAGTCCAGCTTTTGTAAAACTATTCAGAAACATACTTGGTATACTATCAACATTTAGCCACATAGAACAATTAGGTAAAATAGATTTTGTTAACATAAATCCTTACAATACACTCTATCATTTAGTTGAAATGACCATATCTATCTATTCAAAAAAAACAGAACTCTTCCCTCACCTTCTTTAACCTACCATAAGATAGACTGTACAAAAGAGACCCTCTCATAACTTCAGTTACCCGGAATTATACCAAAAACTCATTTATGCATATAAGCCAAATCCTTTATAATTGAAATAAAAGTTTATATCTATTCAACAGGTAACTGCTTTTGTATGGCTTTAAAACCTTTAATGTAGAACTAGTAAATTTTCTAACTTAAAACTAAAAACTACATTGCTTCCAGCAACTTCACAATTATATTTTGTCTTATGGACACATCTACTCACTGTTTTCCACATTTTCTCGATCAATTAATGTGAAGACAATATCAGGGAGCAGGGGTAGGGAACCAGCAGAAATATTTAAGAAGGATTTTTATTTTCTGTATTGTGTATTTTTACAATATTTTGAACTCTTAGCATTGAGACATATTATTGTCACAATCACAAAATACTATAGTGTCCCATCACATTTCATGCATAAACTGCAGTTAATGAAAGAAATCTTATCTTGGGGTTTTTGTGGGAAGAAGAGAAGCATATATAATATATTGAGCTTGTGGTTTCCAGAAAGCCCAATGCTCTTACTGAAAGTATGATCAGTAGTCTCAGAAAGTAATACATTTGCTTCTTTCAAAAACAGATATTGGTTTGCTACCTCATTAAATAAGTTTCCCAGCCTGCAAGAAAGTTTAATATGAATCTACAAAACAGATATCAACATTATAGTTATGGTAAAATTTTAGGAAAGAATCTAAACAAATATTACTTTGAGATACAGGTTACCTAAGCAAAATATATATAAAATATTTAAATACAATCTTTTATTTAACATAGTACCTGGAAAAATTAAAATATTTTCTTAGCTATATTTTCTAATATGGATTATTTTCTTCTTTCTAAAGAAGAGTGAAATAGTCTGTCCTTAAAGCAAAAGGTACCTTGTTATATCCAGCAGTTTAATAATCTTTAATTATCATGCAAAGCCATATGAAAATGCATTTACTAAGAACAGTAGCAGCTGACACCACTTCTCTCGACCCCTCCAAAAGAATTGTATATAATGTACTTCAAAATAAAAACTTTAAATTATATTCATATATCATTTTAGTAATTTACTTACAATTAGTATGAAGAACTGCAAAATGCCCAAGAAAAGATAGTTATTGGTTCAGAATTGATATTATTATAGTAATACAAAACTGGGAGAGAACAGAAATGTATTGTTGGGTTTATCTATTTAATTAGGAAAGGAGACTGAGAGATTTAGTGCAAGCTTCTGAACCTTGCTGCATGCAGATCTGATGCCCAAGCAATATGGCCATAAAAAGGATGATAACATAAAAGCCACCATGCAAGAGAATCTACTTATATTTTATATACTAAGCAATGCTGTTTCAATATGATGGAATGCTGACTATATTTTAATCACAGGTAATGTCCTCAGTTTAGTAATAATTTTAATTCTAGCTTTAAAAGTCACAAATGGAATGTTACTTGACAATCAGGAGAAAGGTAGGTGATGGGCTTATAGTTTCCCTTCAATTTCTTTTTTTGTTTTTTTCCTCCCTTCAACATATAATCAGTCCAATTTTGACTGCAGAACCACTTAAATCCATCATAGAAAATGTTTTCTTTCTTTCTTTCTTTTTTTTTAAAGCCAGTAATCTATGCTAATCAAAAAACTCCAGCAGGAGGCGTTGATGGTGTAATGGTAAGCATAGACGCCTTCCAAAATCTCCAGCAGACTTCAGAATTATCAAAACTTTTCATAATTTTTAGTAATTTCCTTCCTGCTGCTTAAAAAGCCTCAGGGAATAAAAAGGCAATTGTGTCTCAAAACATTTTTCCTTTGTAATTTTCTCCCTAGGTGACAATAATACCATTCATGATCCAAAGAGCCAACTGAAAAGGATTTTTAATGAACTTTTCTATTGATGGCTGGCTTTTCTCATAAATTTAGCTTATATTAATATTGATTTAAAAACCACATTTAATCTAGACTAAAAGGTAAAATAACTTTTTTAGAAATTTCAAACATACTCAAGAAACTTACTTCTCTTTCCTCGTGGCTATACCATCTTACCCCCCATTGAGATAAGTAATAAGAGATGTTAAAGTAGGGTATTTTAATATATAATAGGATATTAAAAAGGAACTACTATTTTGGTTCCTTTGTTTCAAAGTCTATGACTTTTGATGAATTAGAAGAAATGCTTCAACCTAATCTCACACTTTCTAGAATTTCATCAACTGTTAATTAATATAGTACTGCATTTAACACAAATGCTCCCAACATTCTAACAATGTTAGAAGATATACATCAAATGGCTCATTTAGTCACCAAGAATGTTGAGAAATAGGCTGTTGTTCAATTTAGGCCAACGCTTGGTTCCACATGTATTCACATTCTCATTTTTATGTGTTTATACAAGATAAAACTGATTCCTAGGGATAACATAGAGATATATAAAAAACAAAAAGGGAAGGCTGCATCTTTCACAGCCATCTAAAGGAGGACTTCTAAAATGCACCAACTTTTTTAGGTCCCTAGGTCATGCACATGCAACACTGTTAAATGAAGTAAGGTCAATCTGGGCAATTGGGCAAGGAAACAGAGAGTAGATTTAGATTCTTACTGAGCATGCTCAAATTTCTAATGCACCAAAGAGCAAGAGACTTCCCTAAGGTGGAATTTAACTGCTTTATGTATGTTTGGTCTTTAAAATAAGTAAAAATATATAACCTCTTTTAAAACTACCTGGTTTATTTCATAAATTAGTGTAAAGATACCACAGCAGCAATACATTAGATAATAAAAAAAAAAAACTATTTGGCTACAGTTCCCTGTTTCACAAAGCTAACTCCTAAGGGATTACATGCAAAACAGCAAGTAAATACTGTCCTATCAGAGAGAAGTGTTCTTTTACAGATAGTGGTGGTGAGTTGTATGTGTAAAAAAAATTCTCATTTTGAGATACCTGCATTGTAGAAACAAGGATCTACTAGAATGTCTGTCCTTTCACAATATATTTCAGTTCTGTTTGGGAGCTACAAAATATAGCCCTTATTTACAATAAATTATAAAATGTAGTGTGCACCAGAATAGTACATTTATAGAGGAAAGAGGTCAGTAGTTCACTAGGCAGACCTAGGCAATTTAATCTGCAGATTATAAAAAAAACCAATCAATATCAGCATATTCTGTCAGAGATAAAAAAAATTCTTGTTAATTGAACACCCAAGGATCACAGATAAATTGGTAGGCTCCACTTCAATTTCTCAAAGATAATATAGTAATGTTTTAAAACTCTCTTCACAGATTTTTAAAGAATTAATTATTTCATAAATGAAATCATTCATATTGACTAATCAGGCTCATGTCCATTGGGTGCATTTTTCTTTCCTAATGTTAGAATAAACATGCTCAGTAATGAAAAAATTCCAAGCATTTGCAGATCTTTTGGAGACAGGCCCCTGCCTTGTTAGTAGCCATGCCAAGCTGTTCTTTGATTACACAGGGATGCAGACTCCAGGCCAGCACAAATGGCAACTAAAGATTGTATCTGACCTGGTGCTAGGCATATGGGAGGGAGGGTGCTTTGCAGGGAGGAGCTAATAACACCCTGGGATAGTGAAAACACACACTAGAATGGAAAGATACTCTGCTTGGGGATAGAGAGCCAGGATCTTTCTCCAGCAACTGCCTCACTGACTTCTGCCTCCTCATCTCTGTCCTACCCTCTGTTGTGGCTGCTGCTGAGTTGGGCTCCGACGAGCCATGCTCAGGGGTCCTGCGCACCAGCACCTCCCCCTCTTGCACACGTTTGATCCCTAGGTCAGTGGAGCCGAGTTGGATCGGGGAGCCAGGAATACTCGAGTCAGCCTCGTTTGAGAAGTCAAAGCCATCTGGGATTCAACATATAAAATTTTAGTGCTTTTGTGCTGCTCTATTCTTTTCTGAGCATTTTGACCCAGGCAGATAAGAGAATGTATATATGGATATGATATAAACACAAACACTATTTATATAGTTAGCATGTGTGTGCACAGCATGCACACACATAAGGCGGCAGATGAACAATGTGAGGTTTGCAAATGAATAGGACAGAAAAATTGGGATCATTAAAATGGCAATTAATATCTTTTAGGCAAGACAGCTTGACTATTCAAGTACCATATGTCTATGAAATACTGCTGGATTCAGCACTTACAAAAAAGGAAAAGCAAAGATAAAAATCCAAAAACAAGAATCAATTATTTTATGAATAGCCTGTATTATACTGTTAGTTTGGCCGGTTATATAGTTTTTTTCCCACAATGCTCATACATGCACCTTTTTTTTCCAGTATGGTAACAGAGTTAAAGCAATTTCTTTCCTATTGTTATTACTAGTTCAAAAAAAACCAAAAATTAACCTGATCTTATTTTCTGTTTTAACATTCATAAAGCAGTCTAAATAACATCTTTCTAATTTATAAATATACATACATTTATATTAAAATAACTTTAGGCACTTAATCACATTTCTAGTGCTATTTTTAAAAACTGAAAAATTTTATTAATACTTTAATTATATAGAGTCCTTATAATATCATCTGTTAAAACAGTCTGTAAAAACAGTGATAAATTTACTTGAATCCATGAGTAGACTACGGGGATTTTGCACTCACCTTCTCTCCTCCATCTGTGACGACGGATTGAAGCTGTTGTAATTGCAGTCCGAGAAATCCTCGGCACTGTTGGAGTGACTTCCACTTTAAGTACTTTCTGGCCTTCTTGTGAAGAATCAGGAGCATCAAATGGTAATGAGTTTTTCATGGCATTGGCAACCTAAAATGATAATGTGAGTCTATACAAATTTACAACCAATATATAGTTTTTGTATATTCTACACTTCATGTTTCCATCATTTTTGGAATATGTATTTAAAACTTGTATTTTAACATACAAAAGTATAAATTTGTCAGAAATGTATCTCCATTGTTCTGGTTTTTTTTTTTTTTTTTTTAAATCTGAAGCAAAGTTCTTTTCAGGCAGGCTTTTGAAATGGAATTTATTTTTTAAAAATGTGAGTCACAATACCACTGATTCCTTTAAGTTACCATCGAAGAGAAAAAGCATTCTAAAGAAAGAAAAATTATTTAACATTTGAACCCTGATATAGGTCAGTTTAGAATCAGTATCTGATTCTTCGAATGATGAAAACATGCAAAATTTAATCTCTGATAAACATTAGGATTTTCTCCACTCCTTGGTTTACATGAGGAGAAATTTTCCCTAAATTCTTCTGGCATTTTCTCCCACCACTTTCTGCTCCCTGAAGAGGAGAGTGAGATACCTGGGTGGTGAGTAATTGCCATTTAACTGGTCCAAGTTTCTTAACGGGATTGTCTTAATCTGGCAAAGATCTTGAGCAAAAGGATTGTCTTTCTTCCTTCCCTCTCCACTTGGACAAGCACAAATGGAAGGTAGCAAGCTGGATGGGTGTGCCTGATCTTCCCACTCAAACCTTCCCTCCAGTGGCCTATTCCATGCTCTAGATGGAAGGTGGGGAGCTAGGTCTTTCAGTTTAGCCTTTGTTAGTAATAAAGATAATGGTTGTTTCTCCATTTGCCAACTATTTTGTCTGTTTATCACATGGCTCTAGATTTGAGTAAGGAAAAGAGTTATTATTTATTGGGTTCCTCAGAGATCCCTGACCCTAAACTTTGAATTTAAAGAATTTCATAAATGCAGAGTACTATTATGATGCTGTAATTTATCTTTTTATCTATCTATCTATTTATTTATTTATCTATGAATGAGACAGAGTCTCACTCTGTTACCCCGGCTAGAGTGCCGTGACATCAGCCTAGCTCACGGCAGCCTCGAACTCCTGGGCTCAAGCAATCCTCCTGCCTCAACTTCCCAGGTAGCTGGGACCACAGGCACGTGCCACCATGCCCGGCTAATTTTTTCTATTTTTAGTAGAGACAGGGTCTTGCTCTTGCTCAGGTTGGTCTCGAACTCCTGAGCTCAAGCAATCCTCCCGTCTCGGCCTCCCGGAGTGCTAGGATTACAGGTGTAAGCCACAGCACCCAGCCATATCCATTGGTTTTAATACAGCCCTTAAGGTAAAATTAGGAACGCCGAGATGAGAAAAAATGGGAATTCAAATATCTGAGAATTACTGCAAATGCTAACTCAATAAATTTATATTTAGCTTAAAATACTAAAAAAAGAGATAAATGGCTTTTTGAAAACTTGTACTCTTAAGTGCTGCAAGCAGAACATAATATTTTAAGAGTACAACTTATAAGAATAGTACAAAAAGCTTAGAAAATTGGAAAGAAGTAAAAACATCCACACTTGAATCACCTAGACAACTATTAGCATTTTGTGTGTTTCCTCTGTCCCATCTAGATTTAAAAAAAAATAGTTGTATTTTTCAACCTAATACAAGCTAGCATTTTTCTTTTTTTTTTTTTTTTTTTTGAGACAGAGTCTCGCCTTGTTGCCCTGGCTAGAGTGAGTGCCGTGGCGTCAGCCTAGCTCACAGCAACCTCAAACTCCTGGGCTCAAGCAATCCTTCTGCCTCAGCCTGCCGAGTAGCTGGGACTACAGGCATGCGCCACCATGCCCAGCTAACTTTTTCTATATATATATATTTTTAGTTGTCCAGATCATTTCTAGTTTTTTTTTGGTAGAGACGGGGTCTCACTCTTGCTCAGGCTGGTCTTGAACTCCTGACCTTGAGCGATCCACCCACCTCGGCCTCCCAGAGTGCTAGGATTACAGGCGTGAGCCACCGAGTCCGGCCTAGCATTTTTCTTTAATATAAAATCTCAAATATATAATTTCATCATGTAAATATCATAGAACTTAAATAATTCTCTGCTGTGGAACATTTAGACTATTTTTATTCCTTTGCAATTAAAAACAGCACTGTAATAGTGTTTATAATACATTTTGTTGGTATTTAAATTAGTTTCCTGGAATACATCGCTAGACCTGGGATAGAAGGTCAAAGAAAACCCAAACAAAAAAAAAAACACCACACATTACCAAACTGCTTCTGCAAAAGGATGTTTAGAGTTGTTTCGTACTACCACTGTAACATAAAGAATGCCTTTCTCAATCCACTATTGGATGTTTACATTTGGTTTTTAATTGATAACTTACCATTCAGAGATTTACTTATTTTGTGGTAGAGTATGAAATCTTTTTATTCAGAATAAAATATTAATTCTCTTGTTCTTGTCACGCCTGCTGAAAATATTTTTTTCAGTTGGTGTACTGAACACTAATTTTGTTTTTGAAAAACTGATGGTTTAGAATTTAGATGTTTATGTGGGGAAAAAAAAATCAATGTTCTTTTAGTGACTTGTCTTATTGCTTAAGCTTAGAAAGTCTTCCCTTGTCTAAAAATTTGAATAAGTATGTAGAACCTTTTCTTCTCTTAAAGGATTTCAAAACACTTAATTCTTTAATTTATTGGAGCTTTATTTTGGTAGTGGTAGATGGAAAGGATCTAAACTAATTTTGCTTTTTTCCCAATAGTTAACCAGTTGTTATTATGAAATAAATTTTTTCCCATAATAATTTGGATTGCCTCACATACTAAATATTTTTTGACCCTGGCTGGGCACAGTGGCTCACACCGGTAATACCAGCACTTTGGGAGGCCAAGGTGGGAGGATCACTTGAAGCCAGGAGTTCAAGACCAGCCTGGACAACATAGTGAGACCCCATTTCTAAAAAAAAATTTAAAAATTAGCCAGGTACAGTGGTGTGGGTCTACATTCCTAACTACTCAGGAGGCTGAGGTTGGAAAATCGTTTGAGCCCAGGAATTTGAGGCTGCCGTGAGCTATGATTGCACTACTGCATGCCAGCCTTGGCAATAGGATGGGACCTGTCTCAAAAAAAATCAAATTTAATTTAAAAATAAATTTTTTTTGGCTGGGCACTGTGGCTTATGCCTATAATCCTAGCACTCTGGGAGGCTGAGGCAGGAGGATCACTTGAGCTCAGAGTTCAAGACCAGCCGGAGCAAGATTAAGACCTCATCTCTACTAAAAATAGAAAAAATTAGCCAGGCGTAGTGGTGCCAAAAGTCCCAGCTACTTGGGAGGCTGAGGCAGGAGGATCACTGGAGCCCAGGAGTGTGAAGTTGCTGTCAGCTAGGCTAACACCCAGCATTCTAGCCTGGGTGACAGAGTAAGACTCTGTCTCAAAAACAAAACAAAACAAAAAAAACCCAACAACGACAACAATAAAAAAACAAAACAAAATAATTTTTTTTGACCCAGTAGTACCTTTTTTTAGGTATAGGTATGTTTAATAAAGAATAAATATAATAACTTACCAATAGTGGTTGAGAAAACAGTTCTAGCTGAGCTCTATAAATGATGTCATCAAGAACTTCCTGGCCAAGGTCCCACTGTCCATTATACCTATGGAGAAGCAGATCATTCACTCTTAGGCAAATATCTCTAACCTTCATCATAACTTTTTTTATTGTTCTAAGTCGTACTATTTTGGCCATGAAGATTTTCATATCAATTTTTACATCATTTCATTTATAAACTATCCCCCTTTTACTTATAAGGACAAAAGGAAGATTTCAAATACTATGTTTAAAATAGTTTACAGATGTTTCTTCACATAAATTGGTTTTTATTATGTTTATATTCACAGTAATCTATTTAATGTATTCATGAAAACCTGGGTTATGAACTATGTAGAGATACATAGTTTTCCATACAGAAAACATGACAATTTCTAGACTCTAATTTTAATGACTAGTTATACTTTGGCTATTTAAAAAGTACTAAAAGGAAACCATATTAGAAAAACAAAATAATGGGCTGATGATGGAACAAAAGATTCAGTGTTGTTTCTGATAAGGAAGAAAGAGAAATATGAAAAATTTCCAAACATTATTCATACAATTTCATGCTCCACCTACTTACATAGCATAATAAACCCCTGTGAGAAGCTGCACCATAAATTCAGGATCCAATACTATTCGACCGCAGAGTTCTTTCCAATGTTTTTCATGTTGCCGTGGAAACCCACTCACACAAACCCTAGGGAAATATGTATTTAACTTGTATGATTTCCCAATTCATTAAATAAAAGTTTTTTCTTTCATAACTTCATTTATTCAGTTTATTCATTCCTCAAATATTTATTGAGTGCCTGTTATGTGCCAGTCACTGTTCTGGGCCTAGGTATTTTGTCATGAATAGGTGAAAGTTGAAAAAAAAATAAATAAATCTGTACCCTCATAAACATATATTCTACTGGACTGTATCCATAAAAGCAACAACTGTTCTCAAATAGCTAACCATTTCTTTCACAATCATCTTTCTCCCTCTTCTCACTCATACACACACAAATATGCATAACTTTTACTCATACCAAATTGTATCAGGGTGAATCACTGGGAAGTATATCAATTTCAAAACAAAGAGACATTTCAAAATACCTTGTCTGTGAGGCCATCTTTAATTAAAGTAACATAAACAACTCCCTACCTTCCATCTCATTTTAAGAGATGCTTTCAAAAAAGTTATGCTTGATAATTATCAAAAGTTGTAATGTATTTACATAATTTTAATCAATTAACTTATTAGTTAATTAGTGAGTCCAGAAGAAATTTTTTAGTGTTCAGTGCCTTATGGTCTCATGAAATTTAAAAATAAAATTCGATTTAAATACATTTTTTGTAGCAGAGAAGTATATTAGGTGATTAGTAAAGGACTTGCAAGTTGAAGACAGCATTATATTAAGATAAAATTATGTGAGGAAAGTGGATTGGAAATTAAATTCCAAGGAGAAAAAGGAACAATAAAATGTCACACTATTAAAGAGCTTTATCTTTTTTTTTTTCACCCTCAGAGATAGGGTCTTGCTCTGTCACCTAACCTGGAGTTCAATGACACAATCATAGCTCACTGCAGTCTCAAATTGTTGGGCTTCTAGTGATTCTCCTGCCTTAGCCTCCTCAGCAGTTGGGACTATAGGCATGTGCCACCATGCCCAGCTAATTTAAAAAATTTTTTTTTTTAGATATGGGGGTCTCACTATATTGCCCAGGGTAGCATTGAACTCCTGGCCTAAGCAATCCTTCTGCCTCGGCCTCCCAAAGTGCTGGGATTACAGGCATGAGCTACCACACCTGGCCAGAGCTTGTTCATTTATTCCTCAAATGGATGATGGTGGGTATCACATCATTGTAGATATATATTACATTACATACATTTAAAATAGTGACCCAAACAGCTATTTTTTATTGTCAGCATTTACATACTAGAAATTATATAATTTGCAACTATTTAAGATAGAATGAAAAATTTTGAATGTAAACTTAAAAATGTACAAGGGGTACATAATTTTTTCTTTTTTTCTTTTTAAATGTCATCTTGGCTACAGAGGTACATAGTTTTCCAAAATTCTTTAGAGATGTGAACAAAAGTTTGAGGACTACTAAACTCTGCCATCCCTTTCATTATTAAGAAACTATTAAAGGCCACAATATGCTGCCAATAACAGAGCTGGCAGATTTCTTTTAATGAACCAAAAATAGTCACTTATAACTAAACTTATCTACAGATAGGCAGTAAGTGCTTAAACAGCCTCTAGATTAGAGACAAGAACTCTGTTAGCCACTAATCATGTTGTTATAGGCAAGAGAAAATAATATACTTATTTTAAGAAAATCTATAAAATCAAAGTTATAGCTAATTTAGATTGGCCTTCCCCAATTAGCAAAATTAATAAGTTTTGTTATAAACAGGATCATGCTCTCCTCCCAGTAACACAACAGCATGTGAATTTGAGCAAAACCATTTATGGTACACAGACTCTAGGGAGCCATGATCCCTGTGATCCCTCCCCTCTGGTATTCACATCATGTCATCCCCTCCCCGCCTTTGAGTAAGGGCAGGATCTGTAACTTGCTTCTAACCAACAGAATACAGCAAAGGTGATGGGATTCCATGATTATGTGTATGTGATTATGTTATATAAGGTAACAGGTCTTGCTGGAGTCTCTCTCATTCCTTCTCTGGCTTTGAAGAAGCAAGCTGCCATGTTATAGGCTGCCTATGTTGGGAGGCCAATGTACAGGGAGCTGAGGATGGCTTCCAGCAGACAGCTACAAGAAACTGAAGCCCTCAGCCCTAGGACCACAGGAACTGAATTTTGTCAACAAGCGTTGAGCCTCAGATGAGACTGCAACTTCAGCCAACATCTTAACTGCAGCCTTGTAAGACCCTAAGTGGAGGTCCTCAGCTAAGCTGTGCCCAGATTCCTGATGCACAGAAACTATGAAATAATAAGTGTGTGATATTTTATGCTGCTATATTTGTGGTAATTTGTGATGCAGAAATAGAAAACTAATGTAACATTTAACCTTTTTCTGGGCTCAGTTTCGTCAAGTAAAAATCAGCTGGAAAGGATGAACTCAGAATTCCTTTTTTTTTTTTTTTTTTTCAGGCAGAGTCTGGCTCTGTTGCCCCGGCTAGAGTGAGTGTCGTGGCATCAGCCTAGCTCACAGCAACCTCGAACTCCTGGGCTCAAGCGATCCTCCTGCCTCAGCCTCCCGAGTAGCTGGGACTACAGGCATGTGCCACCATACCTGGCTAATTTTTTCTATATATTTTTAGCTGTCCGATTAATTTCTTTCTATTTTTTTTAGTAGAGATGGGGTCTCGCTCTTGCTCGGACTGGTCTTGAACTCCTGAGCTCAAACAATCTGCCCGCCTCGGCCTCCCAGAGTGCTGGGATTACAGGCGTGAGCCACCGCGCCCGGCCCAGAATTCCTTTTATAACTGAAATTCTGTCACTCTAAACATCCCTTGTCTCCAAACTAATTTATATTATTAAATTTCTTTTGATACAGTGGAAATTTCAATTTCAGTCCATGTGTGTACAAATTATTAGAAATTCTGATTTAATAAAGATTATAATCTATGAGACACACAGATAATTGGTGCTATTGCTAATCAACTTCTCCAACACAGAGACAGTTATTTATGAAATGTATGGGAAAAAGAGCACATTCCTTAAGACTTTCCCTATACATAAGACTATTCAAAGCTCTCGAAGTGATTTATAATAACTGGCATCTAGGGAGTGATTAGGTATATCACTAAATAGCCCTAAACTTAGATGTCCTGGTAGAGTTCCATGTCCAGCTAGAAAATATTTAATGCTGAAATCATTTTCAAGAAGTCATGAGGATGAGGATTCCTAAAGGAATGGAGCTCCATGAGTTTCGTTTACTGCCATATCACCAGAAGTTAGAAGAGTGTCTGGCATAGAGAATGTGCTCAATAAATATACAAATATGGCTGGGCACGGTGGCTCACGCCTATAATCCTAGCACTCTGGGAGGCTGAGTGAGAGGATTGCTTGAGCTCAGGAGTTTGAGACCAGCCTGAGCAAGAGCGAGACCCTGTCTCTACTATAAATGCAAAGAAATTAGCCAAACAACTAAAAATAGAAAAAAATTAGCCGGGCGTCACGGTGCGTGCCTATAGTCCCAGCTACTTGGGAGGCTGAGGCAGGAGGATCGCTTGAGCCCAGGAGTTTGAGGTTGCTGTGAGCTAGGCTCACGCCATGGCACTCTAGCCCAGGCAACAGAATGAGACTCTGTCTCAAACAAAAAAAATATATACAAATATGAAGATTAATAATGATTACTCTTCTCACCTGGAGCCCATCTGACAAAGAGATTGGTAAGACGAGGCAGGCATATACACAATAGCAGAATTATAACACAGCATGAGAAAACTCAGAACTTCAAACCTAAAAAAAAACAAACACAGGGAAAAGGATTACAATTATTTCTAGAGACTATAGTATATGAATTATTCACTGGACGGTTATAACAATGCCTTAATATTGACCTTCATGATTTCTCAATCAGATTCCCGCAGTATCCTCCTCAAAAGATTTCTGTTTCTATTTTCATTAAAAGTTATATCTCTTGCTGCCTTTTATATTTTCTTCTCTAAAAAATAAATCATCATACTTAAACAGGTGACTCTCCTATCAACAAAGTCCATCTTCCTATTGACTTTGTGATAAAACCCAAACTTACCACAAGGTCCTTTAAAATCCATCCTCAACCTACCTTTCCAGCCTTACTTCCCTCCACTGCCCACCACATTTACCATACTACATGAATCTTACCACTCCACAAATATGCTGTAACCTTTCATAACTCTTTGCTTTTACACAAGCTGCTCCTTCTTATTAGAATATACTTTTTCACTTGGTGATTCCTGCTAAAACTTCAAGTCCTGGCTCAAATTTTTACATTAGCCTGGGCATCTATCCAAAGGAAAAAAAAAGACATTCTATAAAAAAAGACATCTGCACTAGAATGTTTATAGCAGCACAATTCACAATTGCAAAGATGTGGACACAATGCAAATGCCCATCAATACACGAGTGGATTAATAAAATGTGGTACATGTATACCATGGAGTTCTACCCAACCACAGAAAACAATGGTCATCTAGCACCTCTTGTATTATCCTACATAGAGCTGGAGCCCATTCTACTAAGTGAAGTATCACAAGAATGGAAAAACAAGCACATATACTCACCATTAAATTGGTATTAATTGATCAACACTTACGTGAACATATAGTAGCAACACTCATCTGGTGTTGGGCAGGGGGAGGTGGAGGTGGGAATGGGTATATTCACACCTAATGGATGTGGTGAGCACCATCTGGGGGATGGACACCCTTGTAGCTCTGACTTGGGTGGGGCAAAGGCAATATATGTAAACCTAAACATTTGTACCCCGTAATATGCTGAAAAAAAAACTTTTTTACCTTAGCCATAAAGCCATTCTTATTCTCTCAGCTAAAGTAAACTGGTCCCTTATCTGTGTAGCTCTAACACAGCATTTACCCCACTGAATTGTAATTCTCAGCCTCTAGCTCTGTTTCACCTGTTAAAGTAATAAGTAACTTTACAAAAGAGACCCTAATTTATTCATCTCTACCACTAATATCCAATAAAGTGTCTAATACATTATAATTGCTCAATAAACATTTATTGAATGAATAAATATATGGTTTTCTAGTCTTTATAACCTCTAAGAAAGTGCTCCTAAACCTGGATGCACATTAGTTGTTTAAGGACCTTTTTCAAAACATACATTTCTGTGTTTTAACCTTGATTGACCCAATTAGAATCTCTGGGGCAAAACCCAGGGAAGTTATACTTCTAAAAAGCTTCCCATAGATGAATGATGAAGGGTATGTGGAAACTCTTTGTACTATTTTTGCAATTTTTGTTATTAAGTCTGAAATTATTTTAAAATGAAAAGTTAAGGCCGGGTGCAGTGGCTCGTGCCTGTAATCCTAGCACTCTGGGAGGCTGAGGCAGGTGGATCATTTCAGTTCAGGAGTTCGAGACCAGCCTGAGCAAGAGCAAGACCCCGTCTGTACTAAAAATAGAAAGAAATGAGCTGGACAACTAAAATATGTAGAAAAAATTAGCCGGGCATGGTGGTGCATGCCTGTAGTCCCAGAAAGTCAGGAGACTGAGGCAGAAGGATTGCTTGAGCCCAGGAGTTTGAGGTTGCTGTGAGCTAGGTTGATGCCACAGCACTCTAGCCCGGGCAACAGAGTGAGACTCTGTCTCAAAAAAAAACAAAATGAAAAGTTAAAAATCAAATTGAAAGTCCAATTTGGAAGCACTCATACCTTCAGATCCCTTCTCTTTCTCCATACATCTAGGTAAGAGAGGGGAGGTTTGTTTTCTGAAAGGATAAAAAAGAATTTCTACCTGGGAACCACCAGGCACAACTATGATTTGAAGGTCAGGGTGAGTACAAGGGGTGGGGTGAGGGTGGGGAGGAACATTATACTGAAATATGCCTTCCTGGATATTGAGACCTCAAGCTCTCTTTCCCCACTTGGCCACCAGAATACTGGCAGCCAGACCTCTAGTTAAGAGACTACAAGAGTTTCTTCTAGGGAATTTGATCACCCTATGAGGAAAGACTTAAAGATAGGGACCCGAAAAATTTCTCAACTGAATGGCCCAGTAAGATCACCCTATGGTGAAGTTCACAGTCATATTAACATAGTGAGAGCTTCTCATTTTTTACTCCCCTATTTTTAAATATGAGGGAAAAAAGATTAGCAGATATCTGAGGTACTCTACTAACATGAAAAAGGGATTAAAATAAAGAAACAGGGAAAAAAGGACCATTTAGAGGAAATAGTATACAAAGAGAAAAATATTTTTGAATAAAGAAAATTATCATTAATATTCTCAAAAATACGAGAAGATATTGTTTCTTAAAAAAAAAGAACAGGATCATTTCAAAAGACCACTCAGAGAACAAAAAAATCTTCTGATATATAAAATATGATGGCGGGAATAACAAACTCAAGAAAGGGACAGTGGATGAAGTTAAGGAAACATCCCAGATATCCCAGAAAATACAACAAAAGGAAAAAGATATGGCAAATAGGAGAGGAAAGCTAACCAATCCAGGAGGTCCAATGTCCAAATATAATAATAAAAGCTCCAGAAGACAGACCAAATAAAACAGAGAGGCCAAACTAATTAACAAAAATAATTCACACCATCGAATTGGTATTAACTGATCAACACATTAGTGCACATATAAGACTAACATCTATTGGACGTTGAGCAGGGGGGAGG